TCGAAGATGTGTTGACGGCAGCTCCAACCATGGCTGAGGACTCCACGGACACAACCGCTCGGCGAGACGACTGGACGACGACTGACAGACAGACGAGCGCGGGCCAAGGCAGAGATGCAGAGCACTTCCCGCACTTCTGGATGTTGCATGCGTTCGAACCATGGGAAAGTGTCTGCGTCCGTGGGAAGGCGTAGTATTTCGTCCTCCAGGCGTGAGAACGTGACTGGAGCACGGGAAAGTATCGGCGCATACCTTGCACGTTGAAAAGGTCGTGACGAGAGTCGCGACACCTTGTATAGTAAAGGGTGCGCTTGCGCATTAGTGGGCTGCAAATGAACAGCGGGCTGGGAATTTTTCTAAGATCACCAGCTGATTCCTCACTATGATTGACCCCTATATCTATTTTTGGGCCGTTTCATAATTATAAGGTCACCCTGTGAAAATGAACATTACATTACGAGGAACAACAAACCTGACAGTGAAACTTGAATATTTGTTAGAAACTCATCCATGAACTGAATTTCTGGAATGTTTCGTATCCGTCTGCTGGAAGAAAAACCAGGTTTGTGCATTTCGTTGTGCTCGGAAGGTTTGCGAGTGTTTGCAAAGCAGTTCGGAAAGTCCTTTGCTCTATTCATACATAATTGAAGAGCTGCTATGCCTCCAGATATTCTACAAGTTCCGAACATCCACAAAAAATTTCTATAAATGATTAGAGAAGAGTTATGAGGGCTGTCCCAAACAGTATTTCCTCTTGAAATCAGAGTCGCGCGTGGTTTAATGTTTCTGTCTCAAAAAGTATGAGCTGGAGAGTGGTGAAAAGAAGCAGTGACATTGTCAGGAAAGAAGCGAAGATGGCTTACTGGCCATTACGAGGAGAGAACTTCAATTCGTGAAGTTGAACTAGAGAGCGACTGGACAAGTTTGAGCCTGCGTCACAATCGCACCACATAGCTAGATAATTTCAACAAGGTTGGTTTTTTCGGGTGAGAATGGGTTATTCAATCAGTTCCTGTAGAAATAAACATTTTTGTTGTGGCTCGCGAAGGTGACCAATTCACTTGTGCGCTCGCAATTGTAGTAAAAGAGAGGGAAAGTGAGGGTCATTTCTGTAATAATGCTGTGTCGGAATTTAGCTTTGGTGCATACCTGCATAGTGGACTCTAGGAATTATAATAGAATAATGGTTCGGTGCATACCGACATATGGACTCTAGGAGTATAATATTAATAAGGGCGGAAGGCGAGTGTAGTGGCAAGTGGCACGCTTACCACGCGAGCGGTCCGGGGATCAAATCCTGGGTCGTGAGTCGCCCGGGCCAACCAAGCCTTCCATCCCTCCGGGGTCGGTTAATTGGTACCAGACTTGTCTGGGAGGATAAAAACACTGACTTGTACATCGGCTGGCCCCCGCAAGTCATTGTATAGGCCACATCGCATTCAAACGCCACTGCGAATGTACAAATGGAAGTAGAATGCGTGCCGCATCCCAAAAAGGGATTGATCAACGGCAAATGCTTTATCCTTTATCCTTATGGGTCGCAAGTGACATACTATGCCCATTGAGCCGCGGAACTCGGCTACCAACGATCCTCCCAATACTATGTCCCCCCCCGGAAGCAGCATACTCTCGTGAACCTTTTGGAATCGCGGTCGTCACGTGATAGTTAATAGCTGGGGAACTGCTGAATGAGCAGGTGCCAGCATCAATAACTTTCCACCTTTCTTTCGGTCAATAGATTGAATTAGTCTTAAGTTGGCCTCAATCAACCGATTATTCAATAACATAAACTTTAAAAACCCGAGTCCACCGAAAAATTAGAAGAGCTTTGCTTGAGAACAACAAATTTCCTATCCGAGTATTACCTGTTTTTGGGTCGGTAACACTTCTTTTCTTCTTCTCTTAAACTTTCGCATGATACGAAGTTATTACTGGATTAAAGGAAGCAGTCACGATAATTTTCATGGCAACGATAAGGAAAGCTATGTATTGGAGTGGATAGAGGTCCTGCCCAATGTTACAACACGTGAAGTTTCAGTGGCAGTGGCGCCTTATCAACGGAGTGATAAGGCGCCGAAATCCACTTCCGTTCAGCAAAAACCAAGACTTATCGATGTGGAAAGGGGTGCGATAAGAGCGTGCTAGATATGATACCGTTATCGTTATCGTCCCGTTTTCATTCTGGAGTGCACCTCTTATCAAGCAGCCGCACCTTCTTATCTCATCGTATCATATCTTCCATGGGCTTACACTCGTCCAACAATTACTGCCTCACACCTTATCGATTGATAACGCGAGGGTAGCAAATCCAGCGTGGAAGCCAGAACCGTAGCGTGCCTTTAAATACCAAATTGTTTTATGAGGGGTAATGTACATGTTCTACGGGGAAAGATGTATCGTGTCCAATTGACATTGAAGTTAGTTAGTACATTTCGCGATGTTGTATTTTGCCATTTTTTTACCATTGCAAGGCTTTTTTGCACGTTTTGTGATTATACCCTAGCACACTTCTATGCATTGATTACTGTTAGAATTGCTTTGTGACATCAAGTTCCTGCTCATTCTCTGTAGAAGAACCAAAGATGCGCAGAGGCGACGGAATTCCCAAAACCACGCTGGTCCCACGCGATCAAAAATCAGAAAGGTTTTCGTTCCGTGAATGTGTTACACCGCAATGTCAGGTTTACCTATGATGTTCAACATGCGAGGCTCGACTTACCTCAATTCGGACTCCGTTATTTTTTTATTATTTTACCTAAAGAATAATTTACTTCCATTCAAGGACACTAGCTTCGCACTGAACTCTCTCTTCAAAAAGGAGTGTTTGGTAGTTTGCTCAATCGTAGCTTTCAAAACCGGCTTTAGTTTCAGGTTCTATGCATTCTCTGCATGTTGTTCTACTCCATAGTAGACAGCTCCTGTATTTCTCGTTAGCCTCGTTTTAGGGTACTGATCTATTTAGCTCAAGAAGGTTTATGGTAAACGAGTGGTTGAAGCTATCTTTGGAAGTCATGTGCAGGAGATGTAAACTGACCAAGCCGCTAACCCGTCATGTTTCAGAGAGCTATTATTCAATCCGCTTCTGTAACAGCACCTTGGGCAACTGTACCACGTGATGTGGCACTGGCACGTGCAGTTGTACTCTACAATAAAATGGAATGTGGTAACATGAGCCTGCAGAATCCCGATTATGACAAGATTCTCGAATGCTTCCTACGAGCCAACGCAAGCCTTTTGAGGTAATAGATGTTCAGTTCTGCTCGATTTTTATGTAGTTTCTCAAAAAGAAAGATAAAAATCGTTCCAATTTACAAATAGAAGGTACGCCCTACTGAAAAAGATCGAGGACTGATTAGTGATCAAATGATTCCTTTGACAGAATTCCTGCTCAGCACAGTGTGGACGGATGCGTAACCCATCATACATAGAGGCGCCGAACTAGCGGGAACCAATTCCTGTGTCTACCTTGGTCGATTCCTCTCAATGGACAAAACTTGCGCACAGAGATAGATGGAGCAGCAGATGCATCCGGGACGTGGGCAGAGAACAAGGCGTCTACACTATGATGCACAGCGAGTTCCGGAGCGCGTATTGCTGAACATCAACCGCCAGAGGCAGGAAGCCGCAACTTTCGCAGCACAGACATACTGTGTCCTTCATCTGTGCCGCCTCAGCGTATACGTGGGAAGCAACGAAACGATGGGCCGGTCTCATCATCCATCTGATTACTTCACGCCGAGCCGGCACCGAGACTTTTCTGCCGGCAAATTTGCTTCGAATCTACTAAGACAGTAGCAGTTGACGAACCTGGGCGCCGAGATGACGTTGAGGACGCCCCCCCCCCCAGGTCGCCAAGCTGGCATCACGACACAGCAACGTGTCAAATCAGAGCTCAGGGTCGTGCTCGCCCCTGATTGTAGTCTACACATAATCAGTGAAGAAGGCTAGCGCTATTTCTGGACGCTATCTCTGTCTTCACAATTACCAATTACAATTACCCCTGTTTGAAACTCATAGCAAAATAGGTGGCAAAAGAGTGGGCGCCAACTTTGCGCCAGCCCCAAAAATGGATGACATATGCATGTTTAGGATTGTCAATTCCTTAACTTATTAAAGTTTAATCTGAAATAAGTCTTCACGTTTCCGAAATTATATTAGTCGGTGAATGTTCTGCGACAATTCGTTTCTTTGCCGAAGGACATCGTCTTCAACTTTTACACATCAGTATATGCCACCCTTCTTGCACATCCTTTTGTGACTCGCACACTTTCCATGATGAGCCGTATTTGTGTGGATTTTCAACAGTGTGAAGAACTTCATCTTCATCGACTCTTGCATGAATGTCAGCTGTGATCGCTAGAGGCGACGTCCTGAGTTTCATACACGAAGATTCAGTCTCAGAGGGAAACACACCCACGAAAGC